CCATGGAGGAGGGGGGAAACCGGCTGTCTATGGGTGTCTTCTGCTCCCTGCCTGCTAACCAGAGCCCCCCCCCCTTCTCTTTCAGCCCTCCTCCTCCTCCTCCTCCTCCTCCGCCCCTCGCCTCTCCGTCTGGCCGGGCAGGGGTCTCCTCTTTGCGCCCCTTTCGGAACAGCAGCTCCAGGAAGAGGCGGCCGAAGCCCTGATGGTCCTGCGGAAGGGCCCGGCCCCCAGCTCCCCCTGCCCCACCCTGGCTCCTTTGGGCACCGCCCCCTTTCCCCGACCTCACCCACTGCAGAAGCCCCACTCCTGCTTTGTCTCTCCTGAGGGCGTCCCAGTCACGAGGGCCCCCCAGGGCCACAGCGCTCTGAAAAGGCCTCTGGGGCCCATCGGGGTCCTCCGAGGGCATTGCCCGGGGCCACTCTGCCTGCCTTTCGGTGCCTTTCCCCAGCAGGACAAGAACCTCTGCCTGCTCTCCTTCGCCCCAACTGGGCCCCCCTCTCTTTCAACCCCATTCCTGGTCTCCAGTGTCCAGGCGGTCGGCCTCAGCCCAGGGGGGGCCTCCAGCACCGGCCAGCCCCCCTTTGGACCCCAGAGCTGTCCGCTGCCCATGCCCAAGGTGGTCTGCATGCTGCCACAGGCGGTGGAGGCGGGCTGGCTCCCGGAGGGCAAAGTGGGGGTGCTGCCGCTCTGCCTGCCCCCGCTGGAGGTGGCGGTGGCCCTTCCCCTGCCGCCCTCCGCCCTGCCCTTCGGCCCCCTGGGGCTCCCGCCCCTCCCCCTGCTGCCCCCCCGGCTGCCCCCCCTCCCCGGCCCCCACCTGCAGGGCCTCTTCGCCCACCCAGCCCCCTCCCTGGGACCGGGGCAGAAGGGGGGCCCGCCACTGCCACCGCTGAGCCACGGAGGAGGAGGGGAAGGGGAGGCATGCCGGAGCCCCCCTGAAGAGGCGTCAGTGAGCCCCAACCCGACAGGTAGGCCAGGGAGGGGGAGTGTGGGGGGCGTTCTGGGTGGGGCATCTCCCCAGAAAAGAGGCAAGAAGGGGGAGGAGGCCTTGGGGCAGAGTGCCATGCCCTGGGGAGGAAGAAGAGTGGGCCTTCAGTGCCCAGTGTCCACCCACAAGGGAGGAGGGTGACCACGGTCCTGGGCTTCCCGGTGGAATGTCTTTGCAAAGCACCTGGAGGCCTTGTGGGGCCCGGCAGGGGGTCTGCTTGGGGACAGGACAGGCGGCAGGCGGCCTCTAAGCCCCTTCCTCCAGATTAAGGTGCCGGGCCTGACCTGCGGGGCTCAGTGCCAGGAAGGGAAGTCTGGAGACCTCGTAATCCCGCCAGGATGTCTCCCCGAAGATGTTGATCCCGGGCTCAGCCTGCGGTGGGGCGTGGTGGCCACAACCCCCCTGGGTTCACTCCGGAGCAGGCAGAAGGAGAGGCGGCCCCAAACCTGCTCCTTCTGGCCGACCTGGCGGGGCCTGGCTGGCCACACGGGATTTACCTGGAGACCCGTCTGGGCGGCTGTCAAAGGGAAGGCCGTGGTCAAAGGGGCAGCAAGGGGGGGATGGGCAGCATCTCTCGGAAAGCTTCCTTGTGGGGAGAAAAAATGGGGGGTACAGATAAACATCATAAAAATAACCATAAAAATAATGGTACTAGCACTGCCCTCTTCTGCCTCCCTCCAGGTCCCAACGATACAGCCCCCCGCTTTGTGGCCGCCCCACAAGCCCCTCAGGGCCTGGCAGCACAGGAGGAGGCCCTGCACCCACAGCACCAGCAGCACCAGCAGGCGCCCCACGGCCTCCCAGAAGGCGGCAGCAGTGGCTCCCCTTCCTGCTCCCCGCTTTGCCCGGAGGGGTCCGCGCCCTCTCCCCAGCTGGGCTTCTGAGAGGGGGGCAGGAGATTGAGGTGGGGGCCAAGGGGAGGGCCAGAGGTGGGGGCCTTGGCCAGGAGCACGACAAAGCCAAGGCCAGCAGGTGCTTCACCGTGCCCCTTCTGCCTGGCCATCCTCCCACGTCCAGGTGGGAGGCAGAGGGAGAGAAAGGGAACGGGACGGGCCTGATGTTTTGCAGAACACCAAGTTGGGTGTTTGTTTTTGCAACAGCTTAAGCGATTGGTTTTCTTTAAGTGTTACCCCAAGACACGTTTGCGTCACCTGCAGCCCTCCAGGGGTTTTGGCCCCTGACCCCCAGAAGCCCCCCCCCCCGTCCAAGGCCGGGAATTCTGGGAATTGGGGGCCAAAATGGCTGGAAGGCCGGAGGTTGGCTGCTCTGAGATATTGTTGCCTCTTTGAAATACCACACAGCCCTATGAGTGATGAACTAGGGGGGGTCCTGGCCCGTGAGGAATGCGGCCCCCTTTCCCAAGGCGCTTTCTGGCGTTGCTTTCATGACTCAGGGAAGCTGTGTATGTTGTGTTCTGTTCACTGCTAATAAAAAGGTTCAGAGGAAGAGTCCTGCTTGGTGTGGTTTGAAGGTGGAGTTGGAAGTCCAAATGCCTAGAAGGAGGGAGGGAGAGAGGGCGGAAGTGGGCCCAGGCCGGGTGCATTTAGGGCACAAGTCTAGGGGATTGGGGTGGGGTGGGGGGGGTGGGGGTCAAGGCCTGGCAAAGGAGAAAGCCAGGCCAAGGCATCTTGGGAAGAAGCAGCCAGGCAGGGGAAGTAGCAGCAGCAGCCACATAATAATAATAATAATAATAATAATAATAATAATAATAATAATAATAATAGAAGGAGACACATGCCCTGGCAGGTGATGGGAAAGGCAGTCAAGAAGCAACACTGATGGAAGTCAATAGTAGAAAATTGCTTCAAGTGCAAAAGACAGAAAGAAAATACCATGAAATTACAATCCGGAGCAGAAGAGCAAACTGGCCATAGAAGGCTCTCTCTCCATGGACAGTTCCTGGGGGAAATGGACAAAGAAAAAACCTGGCTGTGGCTCACAAATGGGACTCTGAAAAAGGAGACCAAGGAGGGCCTGGTTCTGGCAGCCCAAGAACAAGCCATTTGAACCAAGGCCATCAGAGCCAGAATTGAAAAGTCCACCACAGATCCCAAGTGTAGACTCTGCAAGGAAGCAGGTGAAATAATGGATCCCATCCTCAGCTGTTGCAAGAAGATCGGGCAGACGGACTCCAAGCAGAGGCACAACATCCTTTCTCAGATGATTCATTGGAACTTGTGCCACAAACACCATCTGCCTGCCACAAAGAACTGGTGGGATCACAAGACAGAAAGAGTTATGGAAAATGAACATGCCAAACTCCTCTGGGACTCTCGGATTCAGAGAGACAGAGTTTTGGAGCACAACACTGCTGACTTCTCGATTGTTTCAAAAAACAAAGTATGGATTGTCGATGTTGCAATCCCAGGTGACAGCAGGATTGCAGAGAAACAACTGGAAAAGCTGACATGATATGAGGATTTGAAGATCGAACTGCAAAGACTCTGGCACAAGCCAGTCAAGGGGGTCCCAGTGGGGATCGGCACACTGGGTGCAGTGCCTCAAGACCTTGGCCTGCACTTAAACACAATCGGCTGACAAGATTACCATCTTTCAGCTGCAAAAGGCCACCTTACTGGGATCTGCACGCATTATTCGCCAATACATCACTTGGGAAGCGTCCGACGTGTGATCCAATACAACAGCCAGCAGAGTGTCTGCATTTGGAAACAATAAACATCAACAAAATCACAATCTGTCACCTGCAAAAGGCCACCTGACTTGGATCTGGGCGCATCATTTGAAAACACAGCACAGAGTGCTAGACGCTGCGGAAGAGTTCGACTTGTGCTTTTGTGATACGAAATCCAGCAGAGAGATCCCATTTGCTGTGACATACTGGGCTTTTGTGTCAATTGTAATAACAAGACAGAACCATAGTAAAACTAATAATAAATGTGTCGACTGGGCCGCTTCCCCTGCAAGGCCGCCAGGAGGCGCGCTGGGTCGGGGCCCCCGTGTGTCCGGAGGTGGGAAGTGCAGCCGGGACGGAGCGGAGGGAGGGGGCGTGGCCGGAGGAGCGGGATTGACAGGCGAGGGGGCGGAGCGAGGGCGAGAGATCGACGCCTCGCCTGGCTGAGGTTCCCTTCGCTCGCGCTTCCCGGACCGGACTCTCGAGGAGGAAGAGAGGTGGGCGGGGCCTCGTGCTCCAAAGGGGGCGTGGCCCGGCTTCCCTGTCCGGGGAGTGGGTGGGTGCGTGGGCGGGGCCTCCTTGACCACATTCCCCCCCCCTCGCTGCCTGCGGAGTGGAGGCGCCCGGCCTTGGCAGTCAAAGCGGGTGGGCGGAACCATTCTCCCTCAGGGGGGAGGGAGGCGGAGACACCTCTGGAAGAGAAAGGGGGAGGAACCCTGAGGAAGACATGGGGTGGGCGGGGCCTCCTTGACCACCTTCCCCCCCTGCTGCCTGAGAAGTGGAGGCGCCCGGCCTTGGCAGTCAGCGCGGGTGGGCGGAACCATTCTCCCTCTCGGGGGGGGGGGAGGGGAGACACCTCTGAAAGGAAGGAGGGAGAGGCTTGCTTGGGCCGCCTTGTCTACAGGAGTGGGCGGGGCCTCCTTGACCACCTTCCCCCCCTGCTGCCTGAGAAGTGGAGGCGCCCGGCCTTGGCAGTCAGCGCGGGTGGGCGGAACCATTCTCCCTCGCGGGGGGGGAGAAGAGGAGGAAAGCGAGAGGGAGAGAGGGGGAGGAGCCCTGAGGAAGACATAGGGTGGGCGGGACCTCCTTGACCACCTTCCCCCCCTGCTGCCTGAGAAGTGGAGGCGCCCGGCCTTGGCAGTCAGCGCGGGTGGGCGGAACCATTCTCCCTCGCGGGGGGGGAGAAGAGGAGGAAAGCGAGAGGGAGAGAGGGGGAGGAGCCCTGAGGAAGACATAGGGTGGGCGGGACCTCCTTGACCACCTTCCCCCCCTGCTGCCTGAGAAGTGGAGGCGCCCGGCCTTGGCAGTCAGCGCGGGTGGGCGGAACCATTCTCCCTGCGGGGGGGGGGGGAGGGTAGGGGGGATCTGCTTGGCTGGGCCTGGTTGTGGTCCTTGTTCTTGTCCCGGGAAGATGAGCGACGGAGACAAGAACCCGGCCAGCGTGGCGACGCCGGCGGAGGACCTGCAAGGGGACGGGCGGTGGATGTCCCTGGTAAAGAGGGTGGGGGGTGGGGGGCAATGGGGAGGGGGCATGGGGGCGTGTGCGGTCCTCCACTGACCCTCCCTCTTCTTCCCTTAGCACCACCGCTTCCTCGCGGACAGCAAGGACAAGGAGCCCGAGGTGGTCTTCGTGGGGGACTCGCTGGTCCAGCTGCTCCACCAGTGCGAGGCAGGTCTGGGCCTGGGGGGAGGGGAGGGATGAGAGGGGGCGGGGCCTGAGAGGGGGCGGGGCTTAGTGTGGCCCCGCCCCCTGCTGGCCCCCTCCTGACCCCTCTCCCCCTTTCCAGGTGTGGCGCGAGCTCTTCTCCCCTTTGCACGCGCTCAACTTCGGGATCGGGGGCGACGCCACGCAGCACGTCCTCTGGCGCCTCCAGGCCGGGGAGCTCCAGCACATTCGCCCCAAGGTAGGCAGGCAGGCAGGCAGGGGGACAAGGACGCAAGGCATGCCGGGAGTTGAAGTCCAAAACATCTCCAGAGACACAGAGGGAGGGAGGGAGGGAGGGAGGGGGACAAGGAAGGCGCCCCAGCCAGCAAGGCATGCCGGGAGTTGAAGTCCAAAACATCTCCAGAGGGAGGGAGGGAGGGAGGAGCCAAGCTTGCCCAGGCCTCAGCTAGATCTTATTTGTATATAGTTTCATTCTACATTTGGATTATTATTTTAAATATTTCATTATTATGGATTTTAATTATTTTTTATTGCATTGTAGAAATTGTTTTCATATTGTTTCCATATATTGTATTATTATATATTATTTTTATTTTCTTTTTTTATTTATATTTTATTATAGATTTTATTATTATTTATATTTTATTATAGATTTTGATTATTTGTACTGAGTTGTCGAAATTATTTTGATATTGTTTCCATATATTGTGTTATTATATATTATTTTTATTTTATTTTATATTTTATTATAGATTTTAATTCTTTTTATTGCGTTGTCGAAATTATTTTGATATTGTTTCCATATATTGTGTTATTATATATTATTTTTATTTTATTTTATATTTTATTATAGATTTTAATTCTTTTTATTGCGTTGTCGAAATTATTTTTATATTGTTTCCATACATTGTATTATATATTATTTTTATTTTATTTTATATTTTTATTTATATTTTATTATAGATTTTGATTATTTGTACTGTGTTGTCATATATTGTATTATTATATATTACTTTTATTTTATATTATATTTTATTATAGATTTTAATTCTTTTTATGGCATGGTCAAAATTATTTTTGTTTTGTTTCCATATAATGATTTATTATATATTATTTTATTTATTTATTTATTTATATTTATTTTTTATTATAGATTTTAATTATTTTTACTGCGTGGTCGAAATTATTTTTAATTTTTTCCATATATTGTATTATTATATATTATTTTTATTTTATATTTATTTTATTTACATTTTATTATTGATTTTAATTATTTCTACTACGTTGTCGAAATTATTTTTATATTGTTTCCTTATATTGTATTATTATATATTTTTTATTTATGTTTATATTTTATTATAGATTTCAATTATTTTACTGCGTTGTTGAAATTATTTTTATATTGTTTCCATATATTGTATTATATACTTTTTTTTATTTTATTTTTCATGTATTTATTTAATTTTTATTTATATTTTATCTTTTTATATATTTTGCTGTTATAAGAAACTAGCCATCCCCTGCCACATGTTGCTGTGGCCCAGTCTGTGTATATGTGTTTTGTGTGTGTATAGGTGTGTATATATTTGTTTATATGTGTTGCATATATATGTGTGGTTTTGTGCATGCATTGTAATGTAGTTTTTGTTTTTAGGCTTTTTACATCCCTTTTGCTGTTTTTCAGTGTTTTATGAGTGATGGTCACTTGTTGACCTGATTGTTGTCTTGTGTCCAAATTTGGTGACAATTCGCCCAGTGGTTTTTGAGTTCTGTTAATCCCACAAACTAATATTACATTTTTAATTATATAGACTAGCTGTCCCCTGCTACGCGTTGCTGTGGCCCAGTCTATGTATATGTGTTTTGTGTGTGTGTGTACATTTGTGTATATGTGTGTATATATTTGTGTATCTGTGTATTTATGTGGTTATGCGCATGCGTTATAATGTATGGGGTTTTTTTGGCTTTTAAGTCTCTTCCGCTATGCTTTTCAGTGTTTTTATGAGAGATGGTCACTCGTTGGCCTGATAGTTGTCTTGTGTCCAAATTTGGTGTCAATTCGTCCAGTGGTTTTTGAGTTATGTTAATCCCACAAACAAACATTACATTTTTATTTATATAGATTCACTTGTTGGCCTGAGAGGTGTATTGTGTCCCAATTTGGGGACAATTCGCCCAATGGTTTTTAAGTTACCGTATATACTCGAGTATAAGCCGACCCAAATATAAGCCAAGGCAGCTAATTTTACCACAAAAACCTGGGGAAACATATTGGCTCGAGTGTAAGCCAAGGGTGGGAAATGCAGCAGCTATGGGTAAATTTCAAAATAAAAATAGATACCAATACAATTACATTAATCGAGGCATCCGTGGGTTAAATGCTTTTGAATATTTACATAACACTAATTTAAGATAAGAGCGCCCAACTCTGATTAAACCATTATGCTAAACTTCTTCAATGTAAATGTGCTTACGTATCCTTCCAATAATAATAGAGTAAAATAATGGAAATGTAATAACAGTAATAATAGAGTAATAAATGTAATAATAACAGTAATAAATACAGTAAAATAATGGAAATGTAATAATAACAGTAATAACCGAATAATAAATGTATTAATACTAATAACAATAAGAGAGTAAAATATTATTTTACTCTATTAATAACAATAATAGAGTCAAATATTAGTTTACTCTATTAATAACAATAAGAGAGTAAAATAATAAATGTAATAAAAATAATAATAACAGAGTAAAATAATAAATAACCTTGACTCGAGTATAAGCCGAGGGGAGCTTTTTCAGCCTTAAAAAAGGGGCTGAAAAACTAGGCTTATACTTGAGTATATACAGTATGTTAATCCCACAAACATTACATTTTTTATTTATATAGATTTGTATTTGTGTTGTATTTATGATTTTTATGGTTCATTATATCATTATGGTATGACCCCTCCCCCTGGCCAAGGTATTTATTTGGGGGGCAGGTGGTTCCCCCTTAACAGGGCATGTGTGGGTGGAGGTGGGTGGTGCTGCAAAGGGAGGTCAGCCTGTTTGTCCTCTGACGGATGGACAGACAGCCCCCCTTCTCCTTTCCCCCTCCCCCTCCCGCTGCTGCAGATCGTGGTGGTCTGGGTGGGCACCAACAACCATGGCCACACAGCGGAGCAGGTGGCCGGAGGCATTGAAGCCATTGTGCGCCTGGTGCGCCAGCAGCAGCCTCAGGCCAAGGTGGTGGTCCTGGTGAGTGGGGGCACAAGGAGGGAGGGGTGGGTGGTGGGGTGAGGGCTGGTGGGCTGACCCCCCCCTCCTCTCCCTCTTCCCCCACTTGCAGGGCCTGCTTCCACGGGGCAAGAACCCCAACCCTTTGAGGGAGAAGAACCGGCGGGTGAACGAGCTACTGAGCCAGAAGGTGCCGCTCCTGCCGGGGGCCTTCTTCCTGGACGCCGACCCGGGCTTCGTGCATTCGGACGGGACCATCAGCCACCACGACATGTACGACTACCTGCACCTGACGCGCCTCGGCTACGGGCGCCTCTGCCCCGGCCTCCACCGCCTCCTGCGGAGCCTCCTCCTGGGGCGGGAGGGGCACGACCCCTGACCTCTTGACCCCAAGCGCCCCCCTCCAGCCAGTACCCTCCCCCCCCACCCCGTTGTCAAAGGGGTTCAAGAAGGTGAAAGGGACCAGCTACTCTTATGATCTAATAAAGCCAGTATGTGAACCTGTGCACCCCGAGCAGGTGTCTCTTTTACTGGGGGGGGGGGGTCTTCAAAGGGGGGCTTCCTCCCTCTCTCAGAGTAGACCCCCCCCTTGTTGCAAGCCATGATGGTGGGTGAGGGAGCCAGGAGCAGCAGGCTGGGTGCCTAGGGTCGCCCCCCCCCCCACTAATTTCCTAATCCAGATACGGCCCTCCAAGATCATTTACCCAGTCCTTGCTCAGGTTCAACCTAAGTCTTGAAAGCAAATAACAACAACAATCCCATCTCACCAGCCAAAAGCAGGCACTCGCTTCCCACTGAAATACTAATAGTTTATATCAGTGGTTCTCAACCTGGGGTCCCCAGATGTTTTTGGCCTTCAACTCCCAGAAATCCTAACAGCTGGTAAATTGGCTGGGATTTCTGGGAGTTGTAGGCCAAAACACCTGGGGACCCCAGGTTGAGAACCACTGGTTTATATTGTCCTTGGCTTTAATTATTGCATTGTTTTAAAGTGTTTTTGCACTACAAACGAGATCTGTGCCGTGTGCGTAGGAATTCATTCACACCTTTTTCAAATTATAATCCGGCCCTCCAACAATTTGAGGGACTGGGACCTGGCCCTCTGTTTAAAAAGTGTCCTAATCAATGCCAAGGCCTAATCAATGAGGCCTTCTTAGGGTTGGCACCCGAGGGCAGAGGCATGTAAACACACCCACCCTTGTGATTCTCGGTCTCCGTTGCCAAGGCACGAACACTCCAGAGCCCCAAGGATGCCCCGCTGGGCCCCTCTTCGGAAGAGGCCTGTGCAAGAGACCCCCCCCCCCATATGGATGTTTTAAAGGGGGGGGGCGTGGGGAAGCCCCACCTCCCAAGCCTGAGGGGCCATGAAATCCCATTGGGGTTCAAGGGGATCAGGACCCTGGCCTCCATCTGCCAGTCTTCTCAGGGGGAAGGATGAGGGGGGGTCCAGGTGAAAAATGCCAGGCCGGAACGGAGCGGGTTGTTAAAGAGCTTTAATAGCAGGTGAGGCAGGGCCACCCCGATGCTGCTGCTGCTGAGGAGGAGGAGGAGGAGGGAGGGGTACACATGGTCAACATGTGGCTCTGGCCACCAGGGCACGCACTCGCTCGCTCACTCACTCGCTCCGCCTCCAGAGTCCGCCGGCCGAGCCCCAAGTCTCTCTTGCTCTCTGCCCAGAGGGCCCACCGGCCAAGGCAACAGGGGCCCCTTGCAGAAGGGCCTCCCTCGCTCCAGGGGCCACCGCCTCCTCCTCCTCCACAAGGGCCAGGCTGGCCACGGACCCCCTCCCACCCCATGTCTCGATACAGAAGCAGATGCGTATGCGGGACCCCAAAATACTTAACGTTATTAAAAGGAGAGGGACTCGAAAAGAGAAGCGGTCCTCTGGGGGGTCTTTTGGGGCAGACCTCGGTCTGCATGTCCTGGGGTGGCTGGGCCCCCCTTCAGCCGCCACCGCCACCTTTTGGGGTCCTTGGGTATCGGGGGGTGAGCGGTCCGCGGAAGGGTGTGCTGGGCCCTCAGTAGCACAGCCAGGAAGGGGCGGAAATGGGGGCGATGCTCCAGGGCCCTCCCCCTCTTCTGTCCTCTGCGCAGCCCTCTGTCGCTCATCTGCCACTGCTGCCAGGCCCGGGGGAGGCCTGTGGGGCCCCTTCCCAACTGGAGCTGGGGGCCGCGGAAGGCCCTCCCGAGGAGGATGATGATGTCGCCACTAGCACCGCCACCGCCATGGTCTCCACTGCTGAGGTCCCCGGGTCCTGGGAGGGGGCATCCAGGGAGGGTCCCTCGGGGCCCCCGATGGGCTCCGGGGTGGTGGGGGGCACCGTCTCGGTGGGGGTGGCCGCCTGCATGATCTTCTGGCGCACTTCCCGGATCTTGAGCTGGAGGCAGACCTTGGTGGGGAAGATGTCCGAGTAGCGGGCCTGGAAGGCGGCTGTGGCCTGGGCTGTGGGCGGGAGGAGGGGGTCAAGCAGAGGGGTCAGTGAGAGAGGGGAGGGTGGGCAGATGGATGGAAAGAGGGGCCCTTGGCCGCTGGGAGATGGAGGGGAGGCACCACCCCACACAGCCCTGTCCTGGGGAGGGCAAAGCCTACAGGAACTGACCCTTTGTCCAAGTGTCCAGCGGGGGCCCCATGCCCCTCCCTCCGTCCTTACCTGACGGGAAGAAGCCGTGGTCCTGGAAGAGCTGCATGACGAGGGCTCTCCGCTGGTCAAGCGTGCGCCGCAGAGAGGAGTACGGCACCTTCTCGTACTCCAGCTCCCCGAGGACGTCCTCCCCGTCGGTCCCTGCAATGGGAGGCAAGAGCCGCGGTGGGCAAGGCTCTTCCATGGCCTCCCCCCACGTTGCGCTCCCCAGGCGGCCGGAGTCATTCCCTGCCCCACTGTTACCTGTCTTGTCGAAGGTGAAGATGTCTCCCTCGCACTTGGCGCTCTTGGGCGTGTTGGGCTCCGAGCTGCAGCTGGAGCGCCGCCGCATCTTCCTCTTGGGGGAAATGGGGTCTTCGGTGGAGGAGTCCAGGTCTGCAAAGGAGGCGGCCAAAGCGGAGAGGGTCAGGTCCAGCCACCCAGGAGACCGGCGAAAGGCCGGCCTCGCGTGGGAGGTCAGGGCATCCCTCGGCCAGGAGTGCCTGGGTCACTATTTGGGGTCTCCTCCACCTCCACCTTTATTGCGTGGTTGAAATTATTTTTATATTGTTTCCATATATTGTATTACTATATTTTTTAATTTTATTTATTTTTATTTATATTTTATTGTAGATTTTAATTATTTTTACTGCGTTGTCAAAATTATATTTATATTGTTTCCATATATTGTATTATATATTATTTTTATTTATTTATTTATATTTTATTATAGTTTTTATTGTAGATTTTAGTTATTTTTACTGCGTTGTCAAAATTATTTTTATATTCCTTCCATATATTTTATTATTACATACTATTTTTTATTTCATTTTTCATGTATTTATTTAATTTTTATTTATATTTTATCATTTTTATATATTTTGCTATTATATATTACTAGCTGTCCCCTGTTGTGGCCCAGTCTGCGTCTATGTGTTTTGCGTGTGTATAGGTGTGTATGTATTTGTATATGTGTGTTTGCATATATGTATGTGTGTGTGTGGTTTTGTGCATGTATTGTAGTTTTTGTTTTTTGGCTTTTTGAGTCTCTTCTGCAGTTTTCCAGTGTTTTTCTGAGTAATGGTCAGTCTTTGGCCTGAGAGGTGTCTGGTGTCCAAATTTGGTGTCCATTTGTCCAGTGGTTTCTGAGTTCTGTTCATCCCACAAACGAACATGACATTTTTATTTATATAGACATGCTGTCCCCTGCCACGCGTTGCTGTGACCCAGTCTATGTATATGTGTTTTGTGTGTGTTTGTATATTGGTGTATATGTGTGTATATATTTGTGTATGTGTATTTATGCGCATGTATGTTTTATTCTTTGGCTTTTTAAGTCTCTTCCGCTGTTGACAGCCGTGCCCCCCCCCCCCCCACTACTCACCTGTGGAGTTCTTGCGCTTCTTGCGGTAACTGCCCAGGATGGCGCGGGGGGAGGTGGCCAGAGACTGCAGGGTCGGGGAGGGCAGCACCTCTTCCGGCTTGAACTCGGGCAGCTCCGCAAAACGCTCCTCAAAGTCCACCTCCGAGAGGACCCTGCTGGGGGGCAGAGGGGGCGAGCGGGGTCTCAGGAGCGCTGCCTCTCCCCTCCTCCAGACCCCCCTCCCAGGACCCCCCCCCATCCATCTCCACGGTCACTCACTTGTCCACCGAGTCAAAGGTCTTCTTCAGCGGAGGGGGGCGGACCTTCACCTTCTTGACCACCGGCCCTTCCTTGGGCTCGGGCCCCTCCGACGTGGTGGCCGATGTCGTTGCCAGGGGTGGGGCCGAGGGTGCCGCCACCGCCCCCCTGGAGCCCTCCCCGAAGTTTGAGGGGGCGGGGCTGAGTGCAGAGGATGAGGAGGATAGGGGGGCCGCAGGGGGTGCTGCTGCGGGGGGCTCCGGGCGGACGTCGGGGGCAGCGCCCCGCCAGTCGGGTGAAGAGGGCAACCGCTGGGCCTGAGGCAGAGGAGAGGATGACCAATTAACTGGGTACTTTCCATTACAAAAGTGTGAGTCAAGCACTGAAAGAGTGAGTAGGCCAAAGCCTGTAAACAGTCAGTGGGCCAAAGCTAGTATTGCCCTGAGGAGAGTAAATAGGCCGGAGCCTGTTAGTTAGTGGGCCGAAGCTAGTGTCATCCTGAGGAGAGTGAGTAGGCCGAAAGCCTGTTAGTTAGTTGGCCAAAGCTGGTGTCGTCCTGAGGAGTGAGTAGGCCAAAGCCTGTTAGTCAGTGGGCCGAAGTTAGTGTTTTCCTGAGGAGAGGGAGTAGACCGCAGCCTGTAAAGAGTCAGTGTGCCAAAGCTAGTGTCATCCTGAGAATGAGTAGGCCGAAGCCTGTTAAGAGTCAGTGGGCCAAAGCTGGTGTCGTCCTCAGGAAATTTAGTTAGCGGGCCAAAGCTACTGTCGTCCTGAGAGTGAGTAGGCCGAAGCCTTTTAGAGTTAGTGGGCCAAAGCTAGTATCACCCTGAGGAGAGCGAGTAGGCCGAAGCCTGTTAGAGTTAGTGAGCTAAAGTTAGTGTTACCTGAGAAGAGTAAGTAGGCTGCAGCCTTAGAGTTAGTGGGCCAAAGCTAGAGTCGTCCCTGAGGAGAGTGAGTAGGCCGCAGCCTGTTAGAGTCAGTGGGCCAAAACTGTAAGTCTGGTTACATCCCGTTTAGACTACTGCAACGCTCTCTACGTGGGGTTGCCTCTGAAGACTGCCTGGAAGCTTCAATCAGTCCAACGTGCGGCAGCCAGATTGCTAACAGGGGCGGGGTACAGATACCATACGACCCCTCTGTTACGCCAGCTCCACTGGCTGCCGATCAGCTTCCGGGCACAATTCAAAGTGCTGGTTTTGACCTATAAAGCCCTAAACAGCTCTGGCAGCAGGAAGGAAGGAAGAAGTGCTGGTGTTGACCTATAAAGCCCTAAACGGCTCTGGCCCAGTTTACCTGTCCGAACGGATTCTCCCCTATCATCAAGGCTATTAAGATCTTCCGGGGGGGGGGCTGCTCTCGGTCCCACCACCCTCACAATCACGGTTGGTGGGGACGAGAGACAGGGCCTTCTCGGTGGTGGCTCCCCGGCTTTGGAACTCCCTCCCACTAGAGGTTAGATCTGCCCCCTCCCTCCTGACGTTCAGGAAATCACTAAAAACCTGGCTCTGGAATGTGGCATTCGAGGACTGAACCTAGAACCTTCCCTGTGATGAATTATGATGAACTGTGACTACGAGTATGAATATGACCATGACTGGATTGACGATTTGGCGTAGGAAACTGTAATGATGTAGTGACGATGTTTTTATTGTACTATGTTGTACTATTTTAATATGTAATGATTTGTACCTGTTGTTCTTTTATATGATTGTACTTTATATGTGCTGTAAACCGACCTGAGTCCCTCGTCGAGGTTGAGAAGGCCGGTATAGAAAACCTCTAAATAAATAAATAATTAAATAGGCCGAAGCCTGTTATAGTTAGTGGGCTAAAGTTAGTGTCATCCTGAGAAGAGTGAGTAGGCCGCAGCCTGTTAGTCAGTGGGCCAAAGCTAGTATTGTCCTGAGGAGTGTGAGTAGGCCGAAGCCTTTTAGAGTTAGTGGGCCAAAGCTGGTGTCGTCCTGAAAGTAGGCCGAAGCCTATTAGTTAGTGGGCTAAAGTTAGTGTCATCCTGAGGAGAATGAGTAGGCCGAAGCCTGTTAAATCAGTGGGCCAAAGCTAGTTTTGTCGTGAGGAGAGTAAGTAGGCCACAACCTGTTAGTTAGTGGGCCAAAGCTAGTGTCGTCCTGAGGAGAGTGTAGGCCAAAGCCAGTTAAGAGTCAGTGGGCCAAAGCTGGTGTCATCCTGAGAGTAGGCTGAAGCCTATTAGAGTTAGTGGGCTAAAGTTAGTGTCATCCTGAGGAGAATGAGTAGGCCGAAGCCTGTTAAGAGTCAGTAGGCCAAAGCTAGTATCGTCCTGAGGAGAGTGAGCAGGCCGAAGCCTGTTAGTGTTAGTTTGCCTCAGTGAGGGAACTCCTCAGTCAATGTCAGGAGGCTTCTCTGTGAGGTAGGCCTCACAGTATGAGGAAGGCCTGGAATGAGAGAAGCCTCAGATGGGAAGCTCCAATCTCAGAGCGAGGCTGTTTATCTGCAAGAGGAAGAAGCCCAGCATGGAAGCAAAGAAGGAAGCATCAAGGACTTCATTTGTGTTGTTATTGTAAGTAGTGCAACTATATTATTTTACTCCTTGGGAAGAGGTAGTGGCATTGGTCTGTGTGCGTTTGTTCTTTTCATCACTTGGTGCTGTGCTAATAAGTGGCCCTGTTGTTGTTGTTATTATTATTATTGTTGTTGTTGTTGTTGTTGTTATTAACTTTATTTGTCCCCCGCTAGCATCTCCCGAAGGACTCGATGCGGCTTACAAAGGCCAAGGCCTCAAAACACAACATAACAATACAAAACCTAAAGCAAATTAAAAACAATTAAAGCAATATTAAACAACAAGCAATAAACAATACACCAAGACACAATAAAACTGGGCCGGGCCAGAGTAATGGGTACAGAATTAAAAGTGCTGATGTGACAGGTGGTATATAAGGATTATCGGGTAAGTGCAGTGTGCAGTGTGCAGCAATCTTAATTTCTACTAAAGTTGGTATTGGAGATTTCCTAATCTGAGAAGGCACATCGGAACAGCCAGGTCTTCAAGTTCTTTCTAAAGACTGCCAATGTAGGGGCCTGTCTAAGATCTTTAGGGAGGGTGTTCCAGAGTGGGGGGCCACCACAGAAAAGGCCCTGTCTCGCGTCCCCACCAAACACGCCTGCGATGCAGGCGGGATCACGAGCAGGGCCTCTCCGGATGAACAAAGTGAGCGCGTGGGTTCATAAACGGAGATGTGGTCACGCAGGTAGGATGGTCCCAAACCGTTCAGGGCTTTGTAGGTAAGCACCTGCACCTTAAATTGGGCTCGGAAAATAAACGGCAGCCAGTGGAGCTCCTTGAACAGGAGGGTTGACCTCTCTCTGTAAGGGGCACCAGTTAACATCCTGGCCGCTGCCCGTTGGACCAGTTGGAATTTCTGAGCCGTTTTCAAGGGCAGCCCCATGTAGGCCGCATTACAGTAGTCCAATCTGGAGGTGACCAAGGCATGGACCACCCTGGCCAGATCAGCCTTTTCGAGGTACGGTCGCAGTTGCTGTGCATTTACGAGGGGGGCCTTTCGACTCGCCCCACGCCACTCTCCTCGTCCCCCTTGGATCCAACCCTCTTTTCCTTCTCAAGGCCACTGAGACACAAACTGGACGGCCATCTCTCAGGGAATACCTTGCGTTCTCCTATATAAACAGCTGCAAAAATGGCTGCCTCTTCAGACCCACAGGTGTGTCTTGGCTTTTTTTGATGGCGTGCCTACCAAATTAGGGCATGCCTAACCATCGATGGCATCTCAGAATTAAATAAATACGTTATTATTCCCCTCTCCCCGCCCTCCGCCTGCCACCCTTTCCCCTAAATTACTGTTCCCTTTGCCTTGTGAAGGTGAATGGCGGTTTAAGGGGAGCAGGGAGAGGTTAATATGCCATAACAGACCCACCGTTTCGGCCCCTTTGCCTCCCGAAGGAGGGGCAGGGAGGGCCTCCCGGGATGCTCTCTCTTCACCGGGCCCCACGGCCGCTTCCCGGTGGCCCCAGGCGTCTGTGGCAGCGGACTCGGTGGCGGGCTGTGTCTGTCGTGGCGACGGAGGGGACACGGGCTCCCAGGTCTCTGGCCTCTTGGCCTCGGGGCCCTGCTCAGCAGGGGAGGGGGGCGGCAGGGGGGGCTCCTGGGGGCCCCGCTCCGTGACCTCCGCCTCCTGCTGGAACCGTGCCCCGCAGGGCTCCTGTGGCGGGTGATGCGGCGGCTGCGGATGATGATGCTGCTGTGTTGCCTGTGCTGGCCCCAGGGAGGCCCGGGGGGTGCTGGGGGAGGGGGCCGCCTCGTAAGAGCCCACCGGGATGCTGGCGATGGCAGCCTTCACCCGCTGCGGGGCCTTGAGGGGCGGGCGCTGAGGGGGCCGGGCGGCGGATGCGGACGGAAGGGGCGGCGGAGGGGCTGCAAGGAGAACCCAGAACAGAGTGGGTGCGCTGTGTGGTTTCTGGGATTTGGGGCCACTTCTTTGGCCCTGTATCCCCCTGCCTTACTGTTGGGGAGGGGACCTCTTTGACCTCTGCCCCCTCCATGCCGTACCTGTGGAGACCCCCATTCCCTGGCCGGGCCCCCCAGGGGGAGG